GTATTACCTTTAGCAAAACTTTACTCACTTGAGATATCAAAGAGCTTGTCCGATGATTTCCGCATTCTGTTGGGTCACCTCTCTTTGGAATGGGAACTTGGAGAAGGATATCATGCTTGGTAAAGTGGAATGTCAATGCAGAAAAGAAAGTCCTCTAAGGAAATAGATTGACACAGTAGCAACAATAGGCTCAAACATAGCAACTATTGTGAGATGGAGCAGGACCAGGCAATGTTTGGTTCATAGAGTCACTATGAGTTGGAACTGACTCAATGGCACCCAACCTCAACAGTGTCTATTATTTTCTTGTGACTCTTGAATTTTCTTCTAGAGTCAATTACTCTTTGATTCCCTGAACTTGTGCAGGCTTGTTTTTACATTTGGTTAGGATGGATCTGTGACATGTCCAATATGTTCCTTAAGCTCCATAACTTGGTAGAATTCAACTGTAAATTGTGTGTAGATCTTCTAGATGATTTTAGGTGTTGCCTGGACACTCTAGAATAAGTCTTTCTCTAACATGTGGTCCCAACTTCTAAGGTGCACATTGTATGGGATCTCAAAGAATGTAACTGGAATGCTCTTAACTTAGTAGCTTCTCTTTGATTAGCCCACAGTGGTCTTGCTCTGAACTTGTACAGTCCCATTCTTTCCCATACATTCACAGGGGGAACCTCATATAAACTCATGGGACCTGCTTTATGCATAGCTCGCTCCTTTCTGATGGCCTCCTCCTCTGATATCTTTCTCTTCTGCAGACAGAACTGTTGCATTCCTCTCAGGTTCTGGCTCACTGAACTGCATTTGGAAAGTTGGCCCCAGATCTAGAGTTAGGTGAATGTGAAGTTAACCTTGTGAGGTTTTGCTTCTTTCTGGAGCAGCAGTGTTATATTGCTTGTTGATCACTGTGTGAAAGCATAAGCTAGAGAATTCTTTTTCAATTGTATAGTTGGTTAGAGGGCTTCTCTGGTACCAGTCATTTGATCAATGACGGCATATGTTATTTGGTTCTCCATACCGAACACTAGTCTCTCCTGCTATGGTTCCCCAGTGGATGGGTTGACCTCACATTTATCCTGGTGCTCCACACACCTTCTTGTTCACATGGTTATCCCAATACTAGTTCTTAGGACTGATAGAGTCATGCCTCCTTTGAGGATGTCCTACTTGATATTGTCTTGATGATCTTGATTCTTTAGCTAGGAGGCAGACTATAGACAAGTATATAACAAAAGAATTTGTACATGACCAGCACCCTTCAGTCTTCACTTATTCTGTGGATAAATGGTCCTGGTTTGATGCTGTAGGATAATACTACACTGACAGCATCAAGGTAGGTGTTTCAAATCTGCTAACTACTCCTCAGAAGCCTTATACAGGGTCACTATAAGTTGGAACCAACTCAGTGGCATTTAACAACAACAATCCTCTCATATTTATCTCTCAACTCTCCCACTTCAGCTCTCAATTCTGGAAAACTCAAGGTCCACTTAACCATCCTTGATTCTTTTTCATCTATGTAGGCCCTTTCTGGAAATGTCAATGTACTACAGGAAAAAAAAATCTGGATATCCATATTTTTGGAATGACATACAAGAAGCATTGGTGGAATGTTAAGGAGTGAGGTAGACTCCAAACAGAGCCAGTAGATGCATGGGCAGATTTTCAAGTAAAACAAGAATATGAACTAGATGCAATTAGTCATGATGATAATACCCAAACAGAAAAATCCACAACAGAGAAATAATTTTCTGGGAGTCAGTCCAGAGAAACAAAAACAAGGAAAACAATAGTTGTACTTCTGTGTTGTCTGGATGCCTTCATGCCAGGGCTGTAAAAGACGACCATCAGAAGTAGCTGGCAGACATGCTCCCGCCTCCTCTCTGAAACCTCCTTTAGCCACACACCCACCATGTGCCACACCTGCTGCTCCTCGGGTTGCCAGTCAGACAGCTGCTCACCCCTGTGCTGTGTCCCCACCACCAGCTGCTCACCCTTGTGCTCTATGAGTTCCAGCTGCAGCCCAGCGTCCTCCTGTGTGACCCTGCTGTGCCAGCCCATGTCCAGCCAGTCACCTTGTGGGGCTGCCAGCTGCTCTTCTGGTGGCTCCCAGTGTCTGTGCTGCCCCTCTTCCTGCAGCTTGGCTTGCTGTGTGCCTAGCTCCTGCCAGGCAGCCAGCTGTGTACCTGTGAGCTGCAAGCCCACTGTGTGTGTGCCCATGAGCTGCAAGCCCACTGTGTGCATGCCCATGAGCTTCAAGCCAGTCCTGTGCATGGCCCCTAGCTGCCAGTCTTCTTCCTGCTGTCAACCCTCTTGCTCCACCCTTGTCTGCACACCTGTCACCTGTGGCACCCCTGCCTGCTGCTGAAACATGACTCTAAATGAAGCATTTCCACTGCAAATGGTCCAGTCCTATAACTTCTTGAAACAAATTGCAGTGGTCCTCCAGATGGTATGCATTGGGTCATTGGAAAGCATAGTCATTGAACTCCAGAACAATCAAGAGAGAATGTGGCAGAATCCTCTGGATCCCTCACTGATCATCATCTCAAGGAAGTCCTGACTCCCAAAACCCTTCTCTGACTCCATACTCCAATAAGCTGTGCTTGTGCTTTCCCCACCAAGCTCTGTGTTTCTTGTTTTTCTTTTTAATTTTCATGTTTTTGTATCTCTATTCTTGTTATGAAGATATTTTAAGGTGAATTCCCTCTTCAGCTATTCCCATTTGCACTGGCTCATGGGAAGATAGACAGTCTATTCACTACCTCTCCAGACTCCATGGACTTAGGTGCCCTCAGCTATGTTTCCTTTTCCTTTTTTTTTTTTAAACCATAGTTTAGTCTATTTTTTTTTTTCTTTCTTTGTTTTTGTTCCTGTCTTCGTGGCCAGCAATCACTGCAACTGATGTCAAAATGCCTTATAACATTGAGGATGGATCTTTCTTGTCCTATAGCATTGAGGGAGCCCTGGTGTGGCACTGTTGGTTAATGCACTGGACTGCAAAGTCCACTTGAATAGGGAAGTCTATGGTTCAAGCTCACAAGCTGTTCTTTGGAAACCCTATACAGGGCTCCTCTGCAGGGACAGTGCCTCCACATCTGCACTGATCCATCTGACTCTCACCTGGATGCCATTAATGGGGAAATGGGGATCAGTGGAGTCAGCACTCCTTGTCATGAATTCCTGCTTATATGATCCCAGTAAGTAATTAAAGACTTGACTGTTACTTTTATCCTAGCAAGGTTGTATCATCTGCATATCACAGGTTGTTAATGAGTCTTCCTCCAATCCTGATGCCACGTTTTTCTTCATAGAACCCAGCTTCTCGTATTATTTGCTCAGCATACAGGTTGAATAAGTATGGTGAAAGAACACAACCTTGTCGCACATCTTCCCCAATTTTAAAACATTCAGTGTTCCCATGCTCTGTTCGAACAACTAACTGCTTCTTGGTCTGGGTACAGATTTCTCAGAAGTACAATTAAGTGTTCTGGAATACTCATACTTCTCAATGTTGCCCATAGCTTGTCATGATCCACACAATCGAAAGCCTTTGCGTAGTCAACAAAGCACAGGTAAACATCCTTCTGATATTCTCTGCTTTCAGCCAAGATCCATCGGACATCAGCAATGATATCTCTCATTCCACGGCCTCTTCTGAATCCAGCTTGAACCTCTGGAAGTTCTCTGTCAATGTATGATTGTAGCCGTTTCTGTATTACCTTTAGCAAAACTTTACTCGCTTGAGATATCAAAGAGATTGTCCGATGATTTCCGCATTCCGTTGGGTCACCTCTCTTTGGAATGGGCATAAATATTGATCTCTTCCAATCAGTCGGCCAGACAGTTGTCTTCCAAACTTCTTGGCAGAGATGAGTGCCTCTTGTGCTGCCTCACTTTCTTGAAAGATTTCAATTTTTATTCCATCAATTCCTGGTGCCTTGTTCTTTGCCACTTCTTTCAATGCACTTTGGACTTCCTCTCTGAGTATCATTGGCTCTTGTTCATATGGTATCTCTTGAAATGGTTGAACATTAACCATTTCCTTTTGGTACAATGATTCTGTGTATTCTTTCCATCTTTTCTTGATGCATTCTGCATCATTCAATAAATAGCATCATGATAAATGGAGAAGAGAGTGATGATTCATCAAATACTTCATTTTATTTAGATTCACAATGAATGCTCATGGAAGCAGCAATCAAGAAATTGAACAACTTACTACATGAGACAAATCTACTTTAAAACACATCTTTAAAGTGTTAAAGAGCAAGGATGTTACTTTGATGACTATGGTGTGCTTGAGCCAGTCTGTGATTTTTTCTGTCATCTTATTTGCATAGGAAAGCTAGGCTTCAAATAAAGAGGATCAGGGAAGCATTAATGCCTTTGTATCACGCTGTTGGTGAACTGCTACAAGAATTAACAAATCTTTTTTGGGAAAAGTACAGCTGGACTGCTTCTTGGAAGTGATGATGATGAGACTTTTTATCTCCTACTTTGGACAATTTGTCAAGAAGGAGCAGTAACTGGAGAAGGACATCATGCTTCTTAAAGTGCAGGGTCATCGCCAAAAAGGAAAACATCCAAGGAGATGGACTGAATCTGTGGCAACCATAATGGGCTGAAGCATAACAATTATTGTGAGCTGGTGCAGGACCAGGCAGTGTTTTGTCTTGTACATAAGGTCAGTATGACTTGGAACGGACTCAACGACGTGCAACAACTACACCATTGCCTATTATTTTCTTGGGACTCCTGAGTTTTCTTCTGACAGGCAGTGGATTACTGATTTATTCCACTGAACTTGTACAGCCGCTTGTTTTTATACTTGGTTGGGATGCATCTATGACGTGCCCAAGGTGTTTCTTTAAAGTTCCATAATTTGGTGGGATTCAACTTCAAACTGTGTCTCATGTAGATCTTTTGGTTTAATGTAGGTGTTGCATTCTAGGAGTCCTGGTGTGGTGCTGGGGGATAATTCACTGGATCACAAGGTCGGTTTGAACTGCAAGGTTGGTGGTTCAATTTTACCAGCTGCTCTTTGAAAACCCTATACAGGGAACCGACTTGACCATACTTAACAACAGCAGCAAAGTGCATTCTAGGAGTCCTGGTTCGGTGCCTTAGCATCATCAATGGACCACAGTGTTGGTTTGAACTGAAAGATTGGCAGTTCAAACTCACTAGCCTCTATTTGGAAACTCTATATAGGGTCTTTATAAGTCAGAATTGACTGGACAGCATTTAGCAATGTAACAACAACATGTGCATTCTACGGAGTCCTGGTGTGGTACTGTAGGATAAGCACTGGACCTCAAGGTCAGTTGGAACCATACAATTCAAACCACTAGCCATTCCAGGGAAACCCTATACAGGGTAGTTATGATTCAGAACCAACTAGATAACATTTAATAACAACAACAGTGCATTCTAGATTTGTTCTTTCTCTAGGGTGTGGCCCCTACTCCTATGATACAGAATGTATGGGGTCTCAGTTGGATGTCACCAGAATTCTGATATCAACTTCAAGCAGGTTCTCTCTGACTAGTCCCAAGGGGCCTTTCTCTGAGCTAGAACTTTCCCATACATTCACAAGGGGACCCTGACATACAGTTATGGGATCTGATTTATGCATAGCTCCCTCTTTTCTGATGCCACACATCTCTTATTTCAGGAGCTTCAACTGCCCCAAAATTTGATATCTTTCTCCTCCTCAGGACAGGACTACTGTGTTCCTCTCAGATTCTAGCTCGCTTCACTGTATTTGGGAAGTTGACCCCAGATATGGAGGTAGGCGAATGTGAATCTAATCTGTGAGTTTTCCTTCTTTTAAGGCAAATGTCTCATGGTTGCTGTTTAACAGCACGTGTTAAGAGATTTCTTTTTCAATTCTATAGTTGTCTAGGGGCCTACTCAGGCACCAGTTATTTGATCCATGACTGTGTGTATTATTTGGTTCTCCATATTGAATACCAGTCTCTCCTGCCATGGCTTCCCAGAAGACGGGGTGACCTTCTATTTTCCCTGGTGGTCCATACTTGTCCCAACCCTAGTCTTTGGGCTTTGCAGATCTATTCCTCCTTTGAGAATGTCTTTCTACTTAATATTATCTTAACTGTCCACCTAAGGCCTTTATAAGACAAGAATCTGTAGAAAGAATTTCTACATGACTTCTTCACTTTTCCTGTGGACACACAGTCCTTTTACATGTATCTGCCATCTCCCCAAATCTGTCTCTCAGCTTTGGAAAATTCAAGGTCCAGTTAAGTATCTTTGTTTCTTCTTCATCTACTTTAGACATTTCCTGGGAAGATCACTGTCATATAGAAAGGAAAATCGGGAGATCCCAAATTTTTGGGGTACTGTAAAAGTAGCACAGGTGCAATGTTAAGGAATGAGGTGGAATCCAGCGAGAGCCAGTAAGATGGATGGGCAGATTTTCAAGTGAAACAAGAATGTGAAGTAGACGTAGTTAGTCATGAAGCTTATGCTCAAATAGAAAAGTCACAACAGAAATATTTTTCTAGGAGCCAGTGTAGAGGAAACAAAAACAAGGAAAACAATAGTTGTACTTCTGTGTTGTCTGGATGTCTTCACGCCAGGGCTGTAAAAGACAACCATCAGAAGTAGCCAGCAAACCTGCCCCCACCTCCTCTCTGAAACCTGCTCCAGCCACACACCTACCATGTGTGATAGCTGCTGCTCCTTGAGCTGCCAGTTGGCCAGCTGCTCACCCCTGTGCTCTGTCCCCACCACTAGCTGCTCAATCTTATGCTCCGTGAGCTCCAGCTGTAGCCCAGCATCCTCCTCTGTGACTCTGCTGTGCCAGCCCATGTGCAGCATGGCCACATCTAGCCAGTCACCCTGTGAGGCTGCCAGCTGATCTTCTGGTGGCTCCCAGTCTCTGTGTTGCCCTTTCTCCTGCAGCTTGGCCTGCTGTGTGCCCATGTGCTGCAAGCCCACTGTGTGTGTGCCCATGAGCTACAAACCAGTCCTATGCATGGTACCCACTGGCCAGTCTTCTTCCTGCTGCCAATCCTCCTGCTCTGCCCTTGTCTGCACACCTGTCTCCTGTGGCACCTCTGCCTGCTGCTGAAACATGTCTCAAATGAAACACTTCCAGTGCAGATGAGTCTAGCCCTGTAACTTCTTAGAACAAATCAAAGTGGTCCTTCAGGTGGTATGCAATTAGGCCGTTGCAAAACATAGTAATTGAGCCCCAGAACAATCAATAGAGAATGCAGCAGAATCATCTGGATCTCTCTCTACACATCATTTCAGGAAAGTGCTGACTCCCTCATCACTTCTGTGGCTCCATAGGAAACTCCATTCACAGCACTCCAATAAATTGTGCTTGTGCTTTCC